ATCACTGTACTGTACATTTAAAAATGGTTAAGATGGGTTGCCTGCTTTACTCTACTGACAGTCTTTTGATGTATTTTTAAAAATATTCATGAAGTCCAATTTGACTACTTTTTCTTGTTGCATATGCCCCTGATGTCATATTCAATCAATCATTGCCAATTCTAATGTGATAAAACTTTTGTCCTGTTTTCTATTAAACGTTCCATAATCTTAGGTCTTATATTAGGTTTTTGAGCCATTTAGTTTTTTTGTATGTGGTGTCCAGTTTCATCCTTCTGCATATCAGTTTCCCCAGCATTTTTTGTTAAAAAGACTACCCTGTGCCACTAAATATACTTAGTTCCCCTTTAATTCTAAGTGTGAGGGTCTATTTCTGGGCTCTCTATTCCACTGTTCTATTTTGAAATTAGGAGTATGAGACTTCCAGTTTTATTCTTTTTTCAAGATTGTTTGTCTCTTTGGGGCATGCTGACATTCTGTATGAATTTTATGATGGATTTTTCTAGTTCTGGGAAAAAATATTTGGAATTTTGATAAAGATAGCTTTGAATCTTTGATCACTCACTAGATGCTAGTAGCACTGCTCCACCTAGAGGTGATAACCAAAAGTCTCTAGGCCTTTCCAAACCAAAGTGGGGTTGGGGGGAGTGGGGGGACAGTGAGGGAGAAAAGAATATAAAGATTAGTTGTAACACCAGTTGCCTCTGAAGAAGGATGAATGAAGTAGAGTAGGAAGCCACTGTATTAATGGCTTCACTCACTGCTGCCTCCCTGGTCTAAATTACTTTTCTCTCATCCTCTCCCCCTCTCTCTCAACCACTGCAACAGCCTCCTAATCAACTTGACCCGTCTTTCCTCTTCTTGTTCTTCAATCCACTGTTACTAGTAACCAGAATGATCTTCCAAATGTAAATCAGATCATGCACTCACTGGCTCAAAATCCTTCATTTATCTTCCTAGCCTTAGGTTTTCATGGTTCAAAAATAAACAGAAATCTATAAACTGAATATACTACTGTTTCCTTTGTGTTCTACCTCTTGGGGCTCCATGCTGTTCCCCAAGCATGGTATATATTTGTATTTGCTATTCTCTGTTGATGATATACCTCACCCAATTACAGGGTTCATTCCTAACTCCTTCAAGTCTTTACTTCTCAAGGGTCTTCCCTTGACCAATCACAGCACCTATTAGTAGCTAACATGTATTTTGCATATTTGTCACTGCTTTTCTCCATCTTGATCAATAACCCTCAAACCCGAGTCAGAATTGATGACCTGTTTTAAAAAGTTTCTCATTTGGGGGGAGGAGAGTAGAGTTTTAAACATGGAACTAGATGCATTTCTAACTAGTTCTCAGAATGATGTTGATGTTGTGGATCCAAAATACTGATTTTGAGAATCAGTAGTTTAGAATGTAAATTTCACAAGACAAAGATTTTTGTCTACTGCTTTATCTCTACAACTGGGCATAGTAGGCACTGAAGCAGGAAAATGAATTTAGAAGCCTCCAATTCTGTTCCCACTGTGCATCCTCTGACTTGATCTATCACAAGGCAGTAAGAATTTACTGAGTCCTGTAAAAGATAAATTACATGATTATCAGCATATAACTGTGTCCCTCCCCATTAAAAAAAGATTGGCGTTGAAGTCTTAACCCCACTACCTATGAATGTGGCCTTACTGAGAAATAGGCTTTTTGAAGATTTGTAATCAAAATGAGGTCATTAGGATGGAGCCCAGTCAACATGACTGCAGGTATCCTTACAAGAAGGGGAACATATGAACACAGACACACACTTGGAAAATGCCATGGAACAACTGAGGCAGAGACTGACGTTGTATAGCTGTTTGTCAAGGAATGCCCTGAATCGCCAGTGACATAATAAGCTAAAAAGCATGGAACAGATTTTTCCTTATGACTCTAAAAGCATGGCACCGGCAACTTCTTACCTTTAGACTTCTTAGCCTCCAACACAGCCAGACTATAAACTTCTCCATCTAGTTTGCTGTACTTTGTTACAAAAATCCTAGAAAACTAATGGCCAAGAATGCAAATGACTACATCAAGTGGCATGTAATTTCAAAATCTGCCTCTTATCCAACTTATACCGATTTAAAAATGCACTTAGGGGCCCTCCCTGGTGGCGCAGCGGGTTAAAGCACGGCACTACGAAGCTAAAGCCACTTCCGCAAGAGTTCGATTCCCGCCTGCCCCGGAGGAGACCACATGGCGTGGCAGACCTCTCCTGACCCGCCCGCTGCTCCCCTCAGCAGTGTACTTCCTCGATCTGCCTGTTCTGTTCCCCACTCTGTCTCTGGTGAAGCCTCTCACCACCCCTGAGCCTCTGGCCTGTACCCCAGTTCTGTATGTACAAATAAATAAATCTTTTAAAAAAATGCACTTAGAGTTCTCATTGTAAATCAATCATACTTCCTGTTTCAGAAACTTTCCACTTGAATATTGTGCTCTCAGTGTTTTCCTTTAATGTGTAGGCAATTCAGGTTCTAGATAATTTCTCCTACTTTTTTTGTTTTTAAAGGGTGAGAGGATTCACCAGAGGCAGAGTGGGGAGCAGAAAAGGCAGATCTACGAAATACACTGCTGATGGGAGCAGCGGGAGGGTCAGGAGAGGTCTGCCTAGCCATGTGGATCTCCTCCTGGGCAGGTGGAATCGAACTCATGCGGAAGTGGCTTTAGCTTCTCAGTGCAGCGGGTTAAGGAGGGCCCCAATTTCTCCTACTTTTTTCTAGGCTTTCCTATTTCACAAATGTCTTTTTCCTCCAAGGTCACTTCCTATTTTCAAACTACAGATTTCTTAGATATTTGAATAGCTGCAAAGTGAAAATGTAAGCACTTATTAAATATACATTTAGATTTTCAGATTAAATGCTATCTTCTCTTTTTAAGGAATAAGTCTCCATTTTCTTTTAAAAAATAAATGACCTTACCCCCACTGAACACTGGATAAAAGAATTTTGTCATACCTGTTTTTCCACCTCATCTCTACAGTAGCTGTTTTACACAATTCTCAACAAACCTTCTAAAAGCAACATGATAGTACTGAAAAGCTTGAAACTTTAAGTGAATCTGAACTGAATTTCACGATTAAGCTGTCCATTTCCTACTTAATGTGTGCTTACAGCTGCACTGTCACAAGAATTACAATCAATGATTTCACCAAAGACGATTTTAAACTATCATACTTTCTACAGTTTACAAGCTGTATAATGCAATTTTCATTCGGGAGAGTCCATGTTAACGTACAAGTTGTTAGTGACACACTTTTGTGTTTCTATGACTGGAGAATACTGACTTATTGTATGTATTCCCAAATAAGTTCGTGATAAAATTCTAAGATTTTGTGGTTAGTGAACTTATTCAGAAATAAACTAATAAAATCTATACTCCAAAAAAATTTTTTTTCAAGAAAAATGATAGCTATCTTAAAATGCTTAATCCTCAATTAAAAGATACACATTCTACACAAACTAAAGACACTAATAGTTCTCCACTAGTATTCTTTTCACACATTCTACACAACCTAAAGAAGACACTAATAGTTCTCCACTAGTATTCTTTTCCTGTGAAGAATTTTAAATGAGTCATACTTTCGATACTGTATCACTTAACATATGGTAAAAGGAGTAGTTTGGTAACTTGCAACTTTATATTCATTTAAATTGCATAGCAAAATATATTCCTAAGGCTGGTATAAATAAGTAGTTTACTTAGAACACACAGTATCATGTGCATAAGGTTCATCTGACATTGATCTGATATAGGGTGTGGATAGCAGTCTTCTAAATACCTTCTAGAAACTCATATTCCCAGACTAAACATACACCAGAATTATACAACTTGAAATTATGCATGACTTTTTCTGGTATCCAGGTAGAGAATCTATGTTTTATGCCCAACTTTAGTAAATGAACATATTTCTGCCCCTTACAAGTTGACCTAATGATTCACTGGGAGGCACTAAAGTTCTAATTTTATATCTACCTAACTTACATTCATAGAGAAATCAATTCATGGTTGGCATAAGATTTCCAATCTGAAAAGCTTTAAAAATATATATCGCTGTATCTATAACGAATTTTGAGAATGCTAGTATAAACCTAGCCCACTTTTCTAGAACACATTCTATTAGTCTGCTATTTTTTAAAGAAATAAGGGGTGAGGGTAAAAGCTAGGGAAGAATAATGCCCCCAAACACGCTCACCTTTTAAGAGGCCAGCATCTGCCCACATTCAAAGCTGTATAGCCATCACTCGTCAGCACCCACCAAAGTCATCCCACTTTGTGCCGGGGAGGAAATCAGGGAAAAAACTTCTGTTCTCTCCTACGTGCAAGTGCTCAAACACACCTGGCTCGCTCTCGATGCCAAAGGCAGAGAAATTTTTAAAAGTAAATGAGCCACAGACAAACCTGCTGATCCGAGAAGGCACCACGGAAGTCCCCCGGCACTTGTGGAAGGCTCCGGCTCGCAGGGCGCTCGGGCTGCGCGGTAGCCCCACAGCCTCGGCAGAAGTGCCCGCACCTGAGCGCCGCGTCCCGCAGGAGCCGGAGGTCAGAGGGGCGGGGAGGGCCGGCGGGGCAGGACCGCTAAGCGGCGGGGCCCCAGCTACGGCTCGGCTCGCGCCTCACTGTCGCCACCCGACGGCAGGAAGGGCGCTAGGAGGGGCGGGAGAGGGCAAAAGGGAAGGACCCGCGACCGAGAGAGTAGGCTGCGAGTCAACAAAATAGCGGCCCAGAGGCGGGCGCCCGTCCGGGAGTGCGCAGAGGTGCGGGAGCTGGAGACACTCCGCGCCTCCCTCGGGAGCCCGCACGCCCCCTGCCCCAGCGGCGACCCCGAGACACCTGTTCGGGAGCGCCCAGGACGGGGTCCCACGCGCCGCGCTGCCCCAGCCCCCCGACCCTGCACACACATTCGGAGAAGAGGAGGCGAGGGGAGTCGAGACCTTGGACCGAAAGCTTGAGGGCGCCTCCGCCGGCCGTACCTGACATCGGCGGCGGGCTCCCTCTCGCCCCTCCTGGGGGCGGGAGAGGGGGACAACACGAGACCAACGAACTTCGCTCCTCTCTATAGCCGCAGAAGTGGCTCGTGGCAGATAGCCAGCGCCGCCCGCTGCCGCCCAGATTATTGCCGGGCGGAGGCGGCGGCGGCGGCCGAGGCGGGCCCAGCGCGCGCTCCGGCCCGCTCGCTCCTCCCCTCCCCGCAGCGCGTCCAGGCCGCGGCCCGCCAACGGCGCAGCCGCCACCCAGAGGTCTGCGAGCTCTGACGTAGCCGCGGCCGCACCAGCCCCGGGGAAGGGCGGAGCGAGAGGGGGCAGGGTGAGTGGGGCGGGGAGACGGCGACGTGCGGACGCGGGGATTGGCCGTCGAGGACACGCTCCGCCCCTCTGCGAAGGGGTCTGGGAGGTCCGCGCTTCTGTAGTCCGCGGTGGCACTGGCTCGCGGTTTCTCGCACCCGGCCTCCGATTTCCTGGTCTTGCTGTGGGTTGCGCACCGGTTTCCGGACCCCGGGAGGGCTGAAGCAGTGAAACAGCAGGGGTTGAAGCTGGGCGTGCCCGAGGGACCTTTGAGGGACGATCTCGGACGCAGCTGGAGTCTTTTGGCTTCTAGTGTGCTCTCGACCAGCTCTTCCCCCACTATCCCCACCCCGGCCCGTTCTCCACCTTTAGCCTTCGTATTCCTTTCTTATTCCCTCCGCAGTGTCTCTCTGACCCTAATGAAAGGAAATAGAGCGAGATGAGCTCTGCGAAGGGGTTTTGGGTAACCCGATGTGTGAACCAGGAAGGACTGAAAAACCGCTTAGTGGTGCCACAGAGCTTTCTGTGGGCACACCTGGTCTTTGGTTCTGTCATTACTTCGGTGCTCTAAGGTAATAGCAGGAAGAGCTTCCTCCGGGCACTGTAAAACTCATTTCCCCTTTAGTTGACAAACGGAATTGGAATCAGAAAGCCGTCTCTGGATGAGAGGGAGGAGCCTGCCAGCCTTTGAGGCGACTCCACAGCAGTCGGGAGATGGAGGTAAGGGCTTGGCATTACTGGTGTTAATCACCAGCTACCCGACTGGCCTGAGGGTGAAAAGCTACCTGCTTCCTTTCAGTGCCCCGTGGAAGTAGTTCTTTAACGCCTCTTAGCTTAGCCCTTAGGCAGGTGGACCCTGGGCTTGATTCTGTGGCATGTTACTTAGCCACATGCCTGGAAGAAATATTAAACAAATATTCAAGTTGCCTTTATTTTTCCTTTACTTTGTTTAGTTTCAGCTGTAAGGTAGTTGCCAGGATATGCCCCTAATGGATTCAAAAGAATCTTCCAAAAGAATTCTGAAATGTCTAGTGATTATTATCCAAACCTCTCATTTTTCAGATGAGGCAACTCAAGTCAAAAGATAATCTGATAGGCCTTGCTAGAAAAGAAGTGCCAGTATCCTGATGTTCAGGTTAGTGCCCTTGCCCTAGCCGGTGCCTCCAGGTTTCTGTCCTTTCCATCCTTTTCTCCATCCTCTTCTGTTGTCTTCAGTCTGTCTATGGTTATTACCCAGCCTTATGTATTTACTCTCCAAAGCTACTGTAAACTGGGAAAGGACACCCTTTCAGAAGTCACAGCCTTCCAAATGGAAAGCAAAGCAGGCAAACCACTAGATCCCTTATCTCATTTTACTTTTATTGAAAGTTATAATGAATAAGGAATAACATTTTTTTCTGTGAGTAGAGATAAGGAAACCTTCCAAGGATAAGCTCATGAACAGCATGTCTAAGAAAATTGCTGGCAAGCAGTGTGTTGATAAGAACAATCAGATCAAATCAACCCTGTCCTACTCACATTTTTTAAAAAATATCTATTTATTCATGGAACTGATACACTTTTATTCAAACAAAGGCAAAAACTGTTGTCCAAATTCTATAATCCAGAGAAAGCTGTCTTTAAAAGTCCATGTTACATTCCTCCACACATGTCCAAGGCAAAAAAAAAAAAAAAAAGATAAAAACATTAATAGTTATAAAACGGAATCTTTTTTATGTACACAGTTCTTTCTTCACTATGTGTACTGAATAACATTTTCAAAAGTTACATAGGGGCTATTAAGTGGATGTGCCATCGTTTAATCAAGATTCTATTGATGAAATTTGTTCTTTTCACCCAGTTTTTACTGTTATAAGCAACTCTTTGATACATTTCCTTATGCATGAATCTTTGCAAAACTGTGCAGTTACGAATTTGGGTAACTTCTTAGTCAGGGCATTGATATCAATCAGTTCTTCCACATTATAAACTAGAAAAAAGGAAGTTGTGTTTATTTTAAAAGATATACTTTATGGGGCCCTCACTGATGGCACAGCTGTTACAATGCAGCGCTACCATCCCCTGCCCTGAAAGTGACCCACATGGCTCAGCAGACCTCTCCTGTCTCACCCGCTGCTCACAGTGTACTTTGTCGATCTGCTGTTCTGCTCCCCACTCTGTGTCTGGTGAATCTTCTCACCACCCCTGCACCCCAGTACTGTATGCATAAATAAATCTTTAAAAAAAAAAAAGATATACTTTATATATAGAATGCCCAGATCCTTCTATTTGAAATACAGGTAACCCTCAGACTGTCTAGAATGATGCTTCATTAGTATGTCAGAGAATGGAACAGAATATATGTGTTTAAAAATACTTGATGCAGGGCAGTAGGCATTGCTAGTAGTTTATTTAATTTTTGATTAAAAAATTGTCATTTTATGAAGGTAACTTTGGTTTACAACACTGTGGGGAACTGTATTCATACCTCTCCACCCCACATCCACCACCAAAGCATCCTCCTGCACAGTTACGTCCCTTCTCTACTTTGTGCCCCCATCTGACATCCCACTACTAGCCTTATCTGTGATCCGTGACATCTGTTTTATATTAGGGCTTCCTGACATGATTCTAGAGAGTTCAACTGAATCTGTCAGAGCTCTGAGTCCTGACCATTCTGGAAGAAACACATAAATAGAGCAATAGAATCCTTGAAATTTAACTAATGCTTCTGCTATTACCACTGAGTAACTGAGTGGCCCATAGCATGTAACCTAAACCCTGTTAAATCTCAATTTACCGAGGTAGAAATTGTGGAAAATAATCCCAGCCTGTCTCAAAAGGGAATCAATAAAACCGATAATGGTGGTGTAATTGTAAAGCATTTATATTCTTTTTTTTTAAAAAAGATTTATTTATTTATGCATACAGAACTGGGATACAGGCCAGAGGATTCACCAGAGACAGAGTGGGAAGTAGAACAGGCAGATCCACGAAGTACACTGCTGGGGGGAGCAGCGGGTGGGTCAGGAGAAGTCTGCCACGCCATGTGGATCACCTCCAGGGTGGGGATTGAACTCATGCTGAAGTGACTTTAGCTTCTTAGTGCTGTGCTTTAACCCGCTGTGCCACCAGGGAGGGCCCTCATTTATATTCTTTTAATTACAGTAGGTATATGAGATCTATACTGTTTTTATTTTTATGCAATTAAGCACTTATTATTTTAGATGTGTATGCCATGAACACTTTTCTTTTAAGAAGTAATATAACTCTTCATTGATTTTACTATGTATTTTTATAAAATATTAGCATCATTCATAGTAAGCTGTTGGGGTTTAAGAGTATGGTAGCATGGTAGGTTATTAGATGTCAGATCTCATTTTATTAGCCTGTTGAAAATTTACTGCAGTTTAAAAAGAATACATAATTATGATGGCATTTTTTTCTTTTCATGAATTAATTTGTAATTGTGACTGGGTACCTGCCCACATTTATGGTAATGGTAACATACAGTGGTAGTTAAACATACTTAATAATAAACACATTTAACCAGTAATTTGCTCTGAGCCTAAGAGATTATCCAAAAGCAAAACTGCACTTAACAGTAGTTCTTTCAGAGAGGATGAGTCGGGCATACAGAGGAAGGGTTACCACAGTAGACTACCAGAGGTATTTATTGACAGTGCAGTTTGGTGGTATGACTGACCTCAAGATAAATATTTTAGCATGAGTAAGGTCATCTTACTGTAAGATTCAAGTCCCAGTTAAATAGTACCTGAACCATCTAAACTCCCTGGTTTTGTCTTTTCTTGCTGTCTGCTAATCAGTTGTGACTTCAAATCAGTTGTGCTGACCTAACTGAGGTCTAGTTAAGTCACTACAAACCACTGACTTAACTAGACCTCAGATTGTGATGTAACTGAAGTCTGTCACCTATCATCTTTATTAATCTAAGTAAGAAGAAGAATGCTTAGGGGAAAAGGACTGGAGTTTCCATTTCTTGTGATAATGTGCTTTTCAGCAAAGCTTCCTATCTCATATTGAAATTACCTGTCAAGACAAAGTTTTTTTATTCTATAGAAGCTAAGAGTAAGTTTTCCAAGTAGTTTTTAAGATTTCGAGACATTTGGAAAGACTAGTGTTATTTTCAGAATTGGCTTACACACAACCCGGGTAAAGGTAGATTGTAGCAGAGGAAGAAATAACAAAAAGAAAATCTGGAAAATACTTTTAACCTCAAGGGACGAAGACTCAGCATGACTCACAATATATTAAGTTGAAAACAGAGACTGCCACGTGTGCACTGAGGAAATTTTTAAGTCGTGTCTCCTAGAGAAATATTTTCAATTTACGAGGTTAGGCTCTCTGGGGTTGCTCCCCATTTCTTCTAGTTCCCTGGAATAAGAACCAGAATATTCTTTAATTGTTTTCCCTAGTGGCTCAACAAAAGCAGAATGCATTTCTTGTAAATGGAAGCTGGCTTTAGTTTAAAATCCCTAAGCAATAAATTATTTATAGATGTATATGCTACTTCTGCTATTGGAAAGAACTAGCTGACTTACACATTTTAGCTGCATAATATGATATTTTTAAACAATTATTTCTTTAAAGTTTTATTTAAATATACTTAAGTCTACAATCCGACTGTGGTAATACTTTGGTGGGTTTTTGTCCCTCTCCCCTAGAGGATTCTTTTTCCTGAATTCCTTTGTCCTGAATAACCATCTACAGATTGGATCCCTAGCCATGGATGATTGGAGGTAGAGGTAGAGGGGTGATGAGAAGATTCACCAGAGACAGAGTAGGGAGCACAACAGAGGTAGAGGGGTGATGAGAAGATTCACCAGAGACAGAGTAGG